AAAAGCATTAGGTTTCTTGGAGAAGCTTTCCCATTTTTTTATTTATTATAGGTATAAGCTGGACAAAATTAATGGAAATATAACGGAAAAAGTGACGGAGGTGACGGAGGTGACGGAGGCATGACGGAAGTTAGGAGTGAGGGCTATTTTCTTCCATTTTTATAGATTATGGGCTAAAACCGTTATATTATAAGGTGAGGAGCTAAAACTGTCCAACTTATCAAGGTAATATCAAGGTAAGGGACTAATTTTAGGCTTTTGCCTACAATTCTCAAATATATCTAGTAACCTCCATGTTCTAGACATTATCAGTGTTTAGGATTCTGTCCTTTACCATAAGGAAAAAGAAAGTAAAGTGTCTGTCCTAAACATGGATGCTGTATAACTCAGCCAGAGATTTCACCTCGTGAGACATATGGGCTAACATGGGACTGCCCACGTTGTAGGACCCCTGGCTTAATCAAGGAAATTGAAATTGCACCTAAGCCCATTAACATTTTCTGCCCCAATCAACCCTTCCTCGTGAGTTGTGACCACTTTCTTCTGCCTGTTCTTCTTTTTTAATGTTTAGGCAATTACTTCTTTAATCAGTTTGGGTTTAGCACGTGCATCGTGCATCTTTACGGTTTGATCAAATGCAAGTTATTTATATCTACATTTAAATTAAACAATTCACAAAAAATTACTTTTTAGCACTTAAAATTAAACTAGGTCTTCTTAAACATATATTATTATCCTTTTCGAAAATTTTAAAAGAACACACGATGTTGCTTAGAAGTAAATCAAATGTGTAATCAGCATGTTTAACTTGTTGCAAGATTCTAATTCGAGTGGAAAATGGATGGGAAGGGTAACTAAACTAATTTGTCTTAATTGGGTTAGTCCCAGTAGTTGCTCCAACCCAAACTTAGGTGAAAATGGACGTTTACATGAATGTAATCAGAATGTTGTTAGGAAATCTATCTCTTAAGTTGGATTTATTAGTGAGTAAATATCATCTTTTAATGTAGATTAAATACAAATAAATACTAGATTCAATCCCCTAACCTCTAGTATAAATGTTAGATATTGTCTTAATATTTTATGTGGACCAAAAATGGTCCCCACCTTTTTAAACTTACTAACTCTAATTATACCTTTAGTTACTTCATTGAACTCTATAATAAAAATCCTAATTAAAGTTTTACAGGACCCATTCAAATCTTATATAGTTTCAAGGGTTAACTTTTATAGTTTCTAGGATCATCATCCAAATCCCATAAAGTTCAAGGCTTAACTTTTATAATTTCTAGAATTGATTCCTGAAACAAGGATTGTGTTAATTAGAAGAGAAAAATGAAATGAAGAGTTGGAGTTGCTGTTGATAGAAAGAAAATTAAATTTAAAAAGTCTCAAAGATTTTGGATTTGATAGGCCTTTTTATTTTAAAGATTTTGAATTTAAAATTAAATTCAGTTAGAATTTGTGTTAGAGACTTAGCAGAAGTAATTACTAACATTAGAATTTCTTAATGATTTAGGAAATGTTTGGGAACTATTTTCAATCTAAATAAAGAGTTAAAATACATATATATCTAATATTTATGATAAATATTAAAAATTAAATCTGGCAAAACTCAACCCACTGACTCTCCAAACCCCCCCCCCCCCCCAAAAAAAAAAAAAAAAGAAGTTAGGAAAATCTATATATTGAGTCATTGACCATCTTTCCACGGAAATATCATCTGACCTGCAGGGTCTAATTCCATTTGTACAATGATGATCCAACAACCTTTCTTTGTTGTACTCCAATCTTTGTTGATGTATAATGTTCCCTTTCTATCTTTTCTTATGCATTATCATTATCAAGGTTGTTGGATCAAGAAACTCGGATGATTTCTTCCATAAGAAAATGTCTCCAAAATTTCATTTTACGTTACATATCATTATCTGACAATGAAAGTACATAGTAAATAACAACCCTAATAGAGTTTAATTAATATGATGGAGCCATCCAACAAAGAACATTATTTTGCCATTAATTTTATCATGTTGTGCCCTAAACTTACACATCGAACGCAATTTTTAATTAAACAATGATACTAGAATTATAAAAGTTAAGCACGATAGGTTTCATGAGCCTTGATACACTGTCATTACTTTTAATTAGTTCTTCCACACAGTAAACAATAATTTTTGGCCTGAATAGCACAAAATAATGAAGGTAACCAAAACATTTTTTTGAATGTAAAATAAAAGTCCAATATTTTTTTTATAAAATAAGATAAAAAATAATTATATTTTATTATGTAATTTAAAATTTAAAAATATAATGTAGAGTACAAATAAGTATAAATTGTACATAATGCACAGTTTTAAAAAAATCTAAAAAAAGCTCTTTTGCAAGAATAAATGTCACTGTTAACCAATTAATTTGAAACTTTAGGGAATGAAAGGAAAAACATTTTTTATTTTTTATTTTTTATTTTTTATTTTTTTAACACAAGGGAAATTATGGAAAGAAAAATTGATTTTACAAAAACTAAAACTAAAATATTAGCCTTAATAAATGTGCACCCTATCTACTGGTGTTACAGGTGCCAAGGGAAAGGCATTTGGACTACATTGTCTGGAAATTTTAATTTGAAATTCCCAAATTACTATTGAGGAGAAATCATGCAATAAGTTTTGAAAGGGGCATCAAGGTAAATAGGGAGATGAAAAATGGAAAGAAACCTTCATGACCCATCACTTTCTTTTTATTTGTGAACCATGTGAGTATCTCTCGAAGGACGGGACCTCCCAACCATAAACTAGTGAGGTGAGCTGAGGCAGTTTCTGGCTTCTTTGCATTGCCTCTTGCCTTGCTGTTTTCCTTCTTACTTCCCCTGTTTCTGTATCAGTTTCAACAGCTCAAGACATTTGGTCCAAACCCAACATTAAACCCTCCAAACATGTAATAATCCACGCCAGTCTGGTCTACTTCATGTGGGTTTTGTAACCAAAGGGCTCTCATATTCATGCTTCATGATTTAAACAATGTGATTTTCAGGAAAAAAAAAAAAAAAAAACAGAGCTTTTTTAGGGGTTTTTGGGACAGTGAATCAACTTAAAGTTGTAGCCTTTGTGGGGGAAGAGACTCTGTTTTAAAGCTTTTGAGAAATAGAATAACTGAGATTGATTCTTCTTTTGGGGTTCCAGTCAAATTTCATGATCTGGGTTCTTGAGGTTACCCTCAGTGAAAGATTCAGACTTTTCAGTAAGTTCAGAGTTGTTTATTATTATTATTATTGGTTGGGTTCTTCTTACATCGGGGATTTTCTAGTCAATTTTGAATGTCTCTGATGTGAGTTGGTGGTAAAGATGAAATCTTTGAGTAGTGTGGGACTTGGGTTGAGCATAGTTTTTGGATGTCTTTTGTTGGCTTTGGTGGCTGAGTTATACTACTTGTTATGGTGGAAGAAGAAGTTTGTTAGCAGAGACATTGAAAATGACTACAGCAATCCAGCTAGGGAGTTCTTCTGCATGTTTTGTTGGAAAAGGGCGTCTTCTTCCCTGAGCCACAAAGCCTTAAATCCCCAAGACATTAGAATCAGAGATTCCCTTGTTCAGGAAACAGAGCACTCAAACAGGAATCTGTTGCTGAAGCCCTTAGGTGATGATAGCTTGGAGACAGAGCTCGCTGGGCTGCACCCTCTTCCAGGGCCACCTAGATTTCTCTTTACAATCATAGAAGAAACAAAGGAGGATTTGGAATCTGAAGATGGAAAGACCAGAAAAGCATCAAGAGGAAGAAGCTTGAGTGATATTCTTCTCACAGTGGAGACTCCATTTCTGACTCCTTTTACATCGCCGCCATTTTTCACTCCTCCTCTCACTCCTCTGTCCATGGAGTCTTCTTATTCTCAGAGTCACACGCATCAACAAGGATTCAATCCTCTCTTTGAATCAGTAACAGATGCAGAGTTTAACAGGATACGGTCATCTCCTCCTCCAAAGTTCAAGTTCTTGCAGGATGCGGAGGAGAAACTCTACAGAAGAAAACTGATGGAAGAAACTGAAAAAAATGATGGACTGGTTCAGGAAAATGGAAGCAGAAGTTCCTGTTCAAGTTTTCTCAATGATGAAGAAGATGGGTCTTTCATCACAATTATTGTTGATAGGAACAGCGAGAGAGGATTTCTTCACCAAAACCATCATCAACATCCACAATTTCATTCAAGTACTTCACAGGTTCTTCCTCTTTCTTCTTCACCCTCAAAATTTCAGCCATCAGTCACAAACAAACTGAAATGAGTTTAAATTTTTTGCTTCTTAATTAGTTTAACTTTTTTGCTACTTAATTGTATTAATTAGCTCTTTAATTAATCCTCTAGTCTTTATTTTTCCTTTGAGGAGTGCTGTGAATCCTTGAGGGGGGAGACAACATTCTGTGTTAACGTGAAGTTGTTAATTTGGTAAAATGCAGAAAGTGGGGAATTTGTGGGGTTATTTGTTTTATTCAATCTCCATGTCTCCTCAGCTGCTTGATACCTGTAATCATTCTTGTTTGAATGATGAATATTACCATGTTCTTGTCCAAATCTCACTGAAATTCTTTCTAAGAGCAAAATCCCATCTCTTTTTTTTTTTTTTTAATATATATGATTTCTTCTCACCCTATTTATTAAAATCTTTGAGACAATGTGATGTGGACCGTCTGATGAGCATCCTGACAAAGGTTATGATAGTGGGTTCCCAGTGGGGCATGCTCCCCATGAGGTACAGAGAAGAGTTGTTATCTGTTAAATATGCCAACCATAGAAGAAGATGACAAAACTGGAAAAAGGGATGAAGAGAACAGCAACAGTGTATGTCTTTGGGTTTTTTCCTAAAAAACAAAAGAGGAGAACTGGAGGAATTTGCCCGTGAAAGTGTCTCGTGGGTATAGGCCGAAAGGTACCGCACCTTCTTCAAGAATCATTACAGGCACTGCCTTTTCTTTTTCCTTGCATCTTTCTCACATAAATTGCTTAGGGTTTCATCCATGGCAGATAATCATGAACTCATGCTCATCTGCTGCTTTCGCTTTCCTTTTCCTTTTCCTTTTCCCTTTTCACAGAAGACAAACAGAAATTGCTCTCTCAGGAGACATAAAAGAGATATTTTGCTGAAGTCTATTCAACATGTAAATTTCATTTCAATAGTAGACTAAGACACAACATAATTTACACACCAAATTATATTGTTGGTATTGGTGATACAAAGTTACAAACCCAAGTTGGTTAAATAAAGAATGTGAATAACAATTACAACAAGATTAATTCATGTATAAATTAAGCAATGCTACCAAGTGTCCTCTGTTTAAGATTGGAAAGGAAAAGAGTGCAAGTGCAATTACTCTTGGCGAAAAAATAAAAAGACTTATCTTGAGCACTGAATTTTCAGATATCATATATTTAGAAGATGTGACTTTAGCAGTATTTTTTACTAGCTCTTAATGACTTTTGTCTGCATTATTTACTCGTTTGAATACCAAAAATGGGTCAAAATTCCATTACCTATTTTCAAATAAAAAAAAAAAAAGGGTCAAAATTATAAAGCTTCGTAGCATGGTAATAATGTTTCTGATATTGGATGGCAAATAAAGACCTGCAAGCTCCAATTCAACAGCAATGGCATGTCTATGATTGAAGATGATGCACTTTTTGATAGATGGCCATTTTCAATGAATCCCATTAACGGAAGAGATGGATGCTGCTGATGGAAATGAAAGATAAAAGAAACCATAAAAATGGAACAGGTTTATTCAGAAATTTTTTACTAGTAAACGTAGATACAATAGCAAATGACACCAGCGAATGTGATAAATAATGGATGGACTGAGGGTGCTTAAGGGAGGAATCTGCAGCAGGCGTCAAGCCAAAGCCGCCATCATATGACTACAAGAATAGAAACAGATATGTTTGAGTACATATACAATAAAACATGTAAAATTGTTGAATAGAAACATTCAGAATTGACCAACCCAAGTACAGACAGACCTGGCATTGGCGTATATAATCCTTGGGTTTCTCCTTGTTCATGCCACTCCAGTCCTCCAACATGAAACAGACAGCAGCTGATACATCAATAAGCCAAACTGAAATTACATGATAGGGGAAAAAAAAAAACCTGAAATTTAGAATTTCACCATGCATCAATAATATTTTAATATTTTCATTTCTTACCAGCGCAATATAAGATCTGTCTCTATGAAACACATTCACAGCAAATGTGTTTATAAGGGTCCAGAATAGATGACTTAAGTAGGAGCAAAGAAAAAAAATTAACAAATTTTAGTGTATTTCCCCATCCTCTTCCTTGTTAGTATATAATCACATCATCAAGGACAGAATTCTATGCCCCTGTCTCTGTGAAACACATTTACGGCAAATGTATAAATTGTTTGAAGGCCAAACCCCTATTTGCACTTTAAATATTTTTCCTTTCTACGGTTTAACACTCTCAGTTTTTTTTTTTTTTTTTTTTTTATCAATACTTTTTATAATTTAAAATTGTAAAAAAACCTAAAAATTAGCTGTCAAATCCCATTTTTACACTAAAAATTAACAGTTAAACCTCTATTTGCACTCTAACTTTATTGATAATTTGAGATTTTTTACAAATTTCAAATTATGGAGGATATTTACTAAAAAAAATTAATTGAAAGTATTAACTATAGAAAAAAAAAAATAATTTGGGATTTTTTGGCCTTGTTTGAAGCACCTAAAGAATACCTCCCATCATCAGGCTGTTGAAGATTTCTCACAGAAATCAATATTGACTCAGAGTCAAATTTGACAAATTAAAGCCAATGGTCTTTGGCATGCCCAATGCAGAATACACAAGCTTGCTAGGGGACTAATGTTAAGGGTTAAAACTTTAAGAAGTTTCAAATGATGAAGTTATCCTTGCCAATAATATAATCACTCAATAAATTATTTATATAAAATTTTAAACTATGTTTTTTAAAATATTAATATTTTTTAATTTAATAATTAAAAATAAATAATAATTGTAATTATTAATTAATAAATAATACAAATAATTAACACTTATTACTTAACATATTAAAGTAATCTTATACACTAATATTTTCAAAAACCACACCAAAAAAAAAATATATATTTTGTGCGGCCCGGCAGTAACGGATGGATCACGAAATTTCTGGCTGGTACGAAAACATAAACAATGCAATATTAAACCCCATTTTCATCCGGAAGGAACTAAGATCACATCGGAGCCCATGGAACCCATAGATATATAGAATTATACCCGTTACCATGTTTGAAATTTAATTTGTCCCTTTAGCGTTATCAAACTTCCACAGTGGCTAATTTTCTAGGCTTCAAAGCAATGCAAAATTCATGGAATTCGAAATTCTAAACAATTTAAAGCGAAACTTGAGCTAAACATCAGACACATTTTGAAGTGAACAACTAGAATTCTTAAGTACGTTATAAACTACACACAAGCTCTGCATAAGAAAATCGCACAAAGAACATGAACGATTAAAGTGAACATCAGATGCGATTTCGAGAGGAAAAAGTGCCAAAACCCTTGGAGGGGAACATTAATAATAATATCAATTACTAAAAGACAGGAAAAATAAATTCATGTTCTAAAGTCACCACAAAACACCACCAACCAGCGTGTTGCCATCCTATCCCTACACTTAATCAACCTCCTCAATCTTGGGACCTGCACCACTGCCACTAGCTGGTGGAACATCCTCATCCATGGCACCACCCATGTCGGCACCTGCACCCTGGTACATCTTGGCAATGATAGGATTACAGATGCTCTCAAGCTCCTTCATCTTGTCTTCAAACTCATCTGCCTCAGCAAGCTGGTTGCTATCCAGCCATTGGATGGCTTGGTCAATGGCATCTTCAATCTTCTTCTTGTCAGCCGCATCAAGCTTTGAACTGATCTTCTCATCCCGGACAGTGTTCCTCATGTTGTAAGCATAGTTCTCCAAAGAATTCTTTGCATCAACCTTCTTCTTGTGCTCCTCATCCTCAGCCTTGTACTTCTCTGCCTCCTGCACCATATTCTCAATTTCTTCCTTCGACAACCTACCCTTATCATTGGTAATTGTGATCTTGTTCTTCTGGCCAGTGGTTTTATCCTCAGCAGAGACATTTAAGATACCATTGGCATCAATATCAAAGCAAACGGTGATCTGAGGAACACCCCTAGGAGCTGGAGGAATACCAGAAAGCTCAAACTTACCCAACAAGTTGTTGTCTCTGGTCCTTGCTCTCTCACCCTCGTAAACTTGGATCAACACACCAGGTTGGTTGTCTGAGTAGGTAGAGAACACCTGCTCCTTCTTTGTTGGGATGGTGGTGTTCCTTGGAATCAAGACAGTCATGACACCACCAGCAGTTTCCAACCCAAGAGACAGAGGAGTGACATCAAGGAGCAACAGATCCTGAACCTTCTCATTACCCTCACCACTCAAGATAGCAGCCTGAACAGCTGCACCATAGGCAACAGCTTCATCTGGATTGATACTCTTGCAAAGCTCTTTCCCATTGAAGAAGTCCTGCAATAACTGCTGCACCTTTGGAATCCTAGTAGAACCTCCAACAAGAACAATGTCATGGACAGTACTCTTGTCCATCTTAGCATCCCTCAAACACTTCTCAACAGGCTCCATACACTTTCTAAAAAGATCCATGTTGAGTTCTTCAAACCTTGCACGAGTAATAGTTGAATAGAAATCAATACCCTCATACAGGGAATCAATCTCTATTGTTGTCTGGGCAGTAGATGACAGAGTCCTCTTAGCCCTCTCACAAGCAGTCCTCAACCTCCTCAAAGCTCTAGGGTTACCACTAATATCCTTCTTGTTCTTTCTCTTGAACTCCTGAACGAAGTGATTAACCATTCTGTTGTCAAAGTCCTCACCACCAAGGTGAGTGTCACCAGCAGTGGCCTTGACTTCAAAGATACCCTCTTCAATGGTAAGCAAGGAAACATCAAAAGTACCACCTCCAAGATCAAAAATCAACACATTCTTCTCACCAACACTGGTTGCCTTCTTGTCAAGACCATAGGCAATAGCAGCAGCAGTGGGCTCATTGATGATACGCATAACATTGAGGCCAGCAATGACTCCAGCATCCTTAGTAGCCTGACGCTGGGTGTCATTGAAGTAGGCAGGAACAGTAACAACAGCATTCTTCACAGTGGAACCAAGATAGGCCTCAGCAATCTCACGCATCTTGATGAGTACCATGGATGAGATTTCCTCAGCAGCAAACTGCTTCTCTTCACCCTTGTAGTCGACCACAATCATAGGCTTGTCACCAGGGCCAGGAATGACCTTAAATGGCCAGAGCTTGATGTCACTTTGGACAGAGGTATCAGAAAATCTCCTTCCAATCAATCTCTTAGCATCTGTAATATCAGTAAATCTAATCAATAAACACAATTACAAGCAACGCCCATAGACTAGCATCTTATTAAGACCCAGACCCAAGTTAGGGTTTTAACAGACCACAGACAAAAACAAAAGCAACGAACATTCTAAGTCGCACAGAATCCTAATCTAGTCTAGATACTAACAAAAGCGAAAAAGAAATAAAAAAAAATCCAAGCAAAAAATAAAACAAACTAATCATTTCAGAATCTATATTTCTTTAATAAAAAAATCAAGAAAAAAACAAATTATATACAACAGAGAGATTCAAGATGCAATTAGACGAAGGGAACAATCAGAGAACAACACAAGAGACACCAGATCTGAACTCAATATACATATTCTGTAAAAAAAGTACAGAGCATTGCAAGTAATTATTCAGGAAAAAGAGAGAGGAATAATTACCAAAGACTGTATTTATGGGGTTCATGGCCACCTGGTTCTTGGCAGCGTCGCCGATCAGACGCTCCGTATCCGTGAAAGCCACATAAGACGGAGTCGTCCGGTTTCCTTGGTCGTTCGCAATGATCTCCACTCTGTCGTGCTGCCATACTCCGACGCAAGAGTATGTTGTGCCCAGATCGATTCCGATCGCTGGTCCTTCGCCCTTTCCGGCCATCTCGTTTATAACGCACTAGATAATGAGGCTGTCGAGATAGAGAAGAAGAGCAAGGAGCCAATCTAGGGTTTCAGAAAACAAAGACTAAATAATTCAGAAGACTAGGCTGGTATTTATAGATGTTTTGGGATCTTAATTCTAGAATGTTCGATGGGTGGCTGGAGATCCTCAGCCGTTAATTCGATGTTGACGTACGGCTGCGATTGGCCGTTGTTTTGGCGAAGTCCTGGCTGCCAGTTGAATTTTCGTAACGTGCGCGTACGGCGTACGTGGTTACAAGGTCGGCCACACACTGACGGGTCTGGTTTCGGCTTATTCCGGGTCGGACAATGCGGATAACTATAAAAATGGGCTTATTCATTTTATAATTGGGTTTTCGTAGCCCAACAACTCCATCTCAATCGGGTTTGAATAATCGGACAATAACAACATTGGGCATGAACCCATATATAAATAATTCATTCTTCATTTCTTAAATTTAGTGGGTTTTATCGTATTCTTTTGATTTGTAGAATTGGGTTTTCTCAACTGGCAACCCTACAACCTCAATCTCTTATCAGGCTATTGGAAGGCCCAAAACCTAACTTCCATTCCATTATTGATGGTACAATGTCAATGGGCCCATAATAGTGACACACAAATAAATACTATTAATTGGTTAATTAATTATATTTTTATATAAATTAATTATAAAAAATATATTGATTACATTTTAATTTGGGGTGTAAGTTCAAAAACCTTTTTATTTTTTTATTTTTTTTTCCTTTGACACATTTCTACTCTAAGAGGCCTAGATCCATCTCTGAAATAAATAATGTGACTTATTTATCCTTTTTATTTTCTGGTAGGGACTTAATATCAGGCAATTAAGCACATATATATGCTCTCTTCCCTTACAACAAATTAAAGCAAAATAAGCAACAAATTGTTTACCGTAACAACCTAGCGGGAAAGACTGAACCGGCAGCACTTGCAGCGTTCACTGTTCTTGACATTTACCCATTAATGGTGGAAAAATGCTGCACCGTCCTAGACAAACTGGGTCTCGGCGTCTCGCATAACCCAATACCCGAATCGAACGAAGAATGCAACACATCCTCAAACCCACTATTTGCAGTATAACATAATCCTGAGTTGTTGTAAAGCCTTAGCTTTCTTCTCATCCTCCATACCATTTCTCTTCCGAAGGGAACCGGTCCTGTCAAGTGGTTATCATTTAGCCTTAGTTCGCTCACATGCTTTAATTCCCTGAAGTTGGTCGGGATGGAGCCATTCAACCGGTTTCCATCAAGATAAGCCACCCGAAGATTTGGTAACCGACCAATTGACTCTGGTACTAATCCATGCAAATTCATGTTTGATAAAATAAGGATCATTAAATCCTTCATTCCATCAAAAAGATCAAAAGGAAGGGTTGTTGTGGATCCCATCTGGTTTCCTCTTAAAATCAAGGCTTGGAGAGATCTCAAGCTTCCAAGTGTTCTTGGGAGCGGACCGGTGAGGCGGTTGTAGCTCAAATCCATGAGAATTAAGTCGGTTAGACCAGTGACTGACTCGGGTATTGGACCGGTGAGTCGGTTTCGACTGAAATCGATTTTAACTAGGGACCGACTGGTTCCGATGCTAGGTGGGATTGGACCAGCTAATAGATTTTGGCTCAGGTCTAAAATATTCAACTCAGGGAAGCTGAAATTGGGTATTGAACCAGTCAATCTATTCCAGCTCAAATCCAATGACTTCAGACCAGTAATCTGGCCCAATGAAACCGGAATTGAACCGTTGAGATTGTTTTTGTGAAGATCAAGAACTCTTAAACGGGTTAGGTTGCCCAACTCATTAGGAATTGGACCCAAATGCCCATTTTCCCTTAGCACCAATGTCTGTAGCGTTGGACCCAACTGCCCCAGAAACGCTGGAATCGGCTGAGGATTGCTGTCGAAGCAACGATAAAAGAACAACGTCTTGATATGTGGAAGCTTGGTAACTGACTGCGAAATGTAAGAACGGGCCGGCTCGCAGGTGGGGAACGCCGTGTCATCCGACAACGCACCGAAGGACAAGGAAACAACGTGATAAACATTGTCCTTGTCGGGCATGCACTCGATGCCGTGCCACCGATCACGGCAGACGTCGGGGATGTCGGTGGCCCAATCGTTTCCTGTCGCTCGCATTATATCGTAGACGGCCTCCTGCTCTCGAGCATCAGTTCGAGCCCCGTTGTTGTTCATGGAAAACCCTGCTTGGGGGCCGTCAATTAGGGCCGATGGGACGCCAGAATCCGACATGATCACGGTGAAAGAGGTAGCGAGACCCCATGAGTACACCAAGATTAGCAGTGCCTGGAGTAGGACTGGAGGCATTTTGGGAGTGGGGATGTGGGTGGTTTGGGTTGTAGTCTTGAGCTTTTATACCGGGGAAATGGGCGGAGTTAAATGAGATGGGTCGGGTTGGTAGAATTTTGAATGAGGAAAAAGGACAGAAATGAATTAATGCAAAGGGTAATTTATTAGATCACGAGACTTCTAGGGATTGAAATAAATTTGAAGCGAATTTCTGCATTTATGTGTTTCACGAGAGTTTTGCCAAAGTCAAATTTGCATTTTCGGGTAGGACAATCCGGGTCAGTATAAAATGGGCCAATGCATTTTAAAAATTTGGGTTTTCTTAGCCCAACAAGTCATCTCCAATCGGGTTTGAAACTTTGAATAATCGGACAATATTAGGGATGGGTCCATAAATATATTGGATTTTGTGAGCTTTATCGTGTTCTAATGAAACTGATTTGCAGAATTGGGTTTTCTCAGCCCAACAACTCAATCTCTCATCAGGGGAAAGGAAGACCCAAAACCTAATTTCAATCATTGATGGTACAATGTCAATGGGCCCCCAATAGTGACCCACTAATTAATCATGCACAAATATTTTAAAGCGACATATGGTACAAATTTATGCAGGAAACAACAGCCAATGGACCACCACACGCCAAAAAAAGCAAACTTAATTTAGGTTTTTAAACAAATAATTTGGAATCTGACTTAATTAAGAATCTATCCTCATGATATAAGCAAAGTGGGGCACTATTCTGAGCCTGAGGGAAGATAATGTATAGAGGGCAAGCAAAAGCTGCCATCGGAGCTTTCTTTTCCAACCATGTATGCATAATTTAACAAAAGGGAAGGCTGCTTTTTTGCATGGAAATGAGTTAAAAGAGAAGATTCTACTAATTAAGGAATATTGTTTCATTAGATTGGGGGAAATGAGGGAATTGGATTCCTTCTCCACCAACCTTGAACTTCCTTCCCATTTCCTAAATCACTTGTCAAAGATTTTGAATCTACATGACAATAGTTGCATGCACGATCCCCCCCTCCCAGCTCAAAAAGAATCAGCACCTTGTATCTTTGAACTTTAATTATCAAATTGGATATGTAAAGAACCTAACAATTACATTAGTCTAATAATGGTTGAATGGGACTTGAGTTTGAAAACACAGAATGTTTCAATCATTTAGGTTATACTTGGGATTGTAGTTAGGAGTTTTTTCGTGTAATTGTATAGTGTTTTTAGATTTATATGTGTTTGGTAATTTTTTTTGCAAATTACTTTTTTTAAAAACTGCATAAAACCACAATAAATCTACATTAATTTTATATATAAGTTAAAAGTTTTATTTTGAAACTTTCTAATGATATTTTTTTTTATAGAGAACACCTAATATTTAATATAATTATAAAATTATCCGTTAAACCTAATTTTGTATAATTTAATTATATCATAATTTATGATATTTTAATAATTATAACAAATCTCAAAAACTTAAATTATTAAAAAATAATATTATTATCTATTTTAATAATTATGTATCTTACAATATTTTTTAAATTTTAATTAATTAATAATTAATAAAATCTACCATTTTTCATCAATAATACTTTTAAAAAATAAATAATCAAACACCAAAATAACTATCAACCACAATTATAGTACAGTTTAATACAGTTACAACCATAACATCTCACAACAATACCAAACACTCCTTGGTCATTAGCAGTACTAAAGTTTAGAAAATGAAGGCTTATATGTACCGTGGGATATTGCATGTTTCCCTTACATAATTTATTGATTGATATGAGATTTTTTTCAATTGAGACCTTTATTTCTATGATAGTGGCTAATGTGGACATATAATTGATTTAATTTCTAGATGAGGTGAAACCTTTGGGATTAAATACATCGATAAATAAGTGTCATCTTAATTATATGATAAATTTATGGTTTAGGATTTG